GTGTGCACGTGAGTGTGTGTTTCCTTAGTAGTGGTGTATTTTTTTCTTAATCTGCAAAAGCCTCCAAGCTGTGATGGATGGTGGATTTGAAGGGTACACCAGTAGGTCTGAGGATTCCTCCCTTTTCTGAAAATCTTATATCTTCTGTATATCCTAAAGACCTGATAATGTGGAGTTTGCTTCTCCATCACTATTGTCAAAGGATTGTAATAACAAGCAAAAATGGGATGTCTGTAGAGCTATTCCTATAAAATACTAGAAACCCATTTCCAAGGTGGCTTGAGGCGTCTGCAATGCCGTGGTGTGGGATAGCTGTTGTTCTTTGCACTCACTTCCTACCTAATTTCATAATGCCGTCAACCAGCCCTCTTAGGTCCAGTATCTCTTGGCTTGAAATCTATGTAAACAGTAGCAAGCAGGCAAGCTTTCTGGGTGCAACTCGTTTCCTTTAAGCCATGCAACTGGCAGTGGTGTGAGTTGTGTGCCCAGTTGCTTCTGCCCTGGGGTGGGCTCCTGACTTCCCTTTCTCTCCCCATTTTGTGTGGGAGTCAAGAGGGAGGAGAGTGGGGGAAAGGAAAACCTGCACTCTGCCACCTCTTCAGGCTTGTTTTCATCTAGCATATGAATTCCAGTTTCAGGCTGTTTGTGAAATGAAATCTAGATGATGCCTCTCTGTCAGTCTCCAGTTCAACGGAATACTGGGAACGTTTCATACCAGAGTCATTTCTTAAATGGTTACTTGCCTCTGTGGTGACCTGACTGTTTTGGCCTTTTAAATATTGTAGAATAAATCGAGATTCAAAGGAGGTACCCTGAAAACTGATTATATGTGTGAGTGCTTAGTGTTGCCGGTTACCAAAGGCTAGGTACAGATAGGTACTGTGTTTAATCTCAAGACCAGTCTTCGTGCATGTTTTTTTCCTGTAACGGTCCTTTGAATTTGATTGGGGATGTGTTTTAAAAGCTGGCATAAGTTAAAATACTGCAGGACACTCATTTCTCCTTGTTTCTAATTAAAGACATCTGCCTCTTGAAATGAAAGATTGCAGCACTTGTGCTGAGGGGAGCATGCTGTAATGGGTTGTGTGTGTACATGTACATACCATTTAGAGGTATTTTTTCTGAGAAAATAGGTCGTCTTCTCTCTGCAGCATTATTCAAGACAAGAGTGAAGTCTCAAAACCTTCAGTGTATGGCAGTAGATGTGAAAGGATTAAAACAGGGATTTGAGCAGTAGATTTTCCAGTAGCATAACTGGCTTTTTTAAGTTCCTTTAATTCTGTGCTTCTGTCCCTTCAAATGTTTAATATTCTCCGGCAGTGCCGTTTAGAGCCAATCGGCTCATGCTCAGCCACGGGCAACAGACATTTATATTCCCGGGCTGCCTTCACCTCTGCTTTGCTGCATTTCAGCTTCTCTGCTGAAGTTTTCCTCTTAACGAGTCTATGAAGAGCAGTGTTGAGTTCTCGGCGTTGCCTGGTAGCTGGCTCTTTATTCCAGCTGATGTGGTGAGCGAACGAGGCCAGCGGCAAATGACACATGCGGAAAGGCTTTGCTTCGAGAAAGACAGTCACTGTCCTTCCTTATTAAAACACAGCCATCTTCTGTGTAAGTAAGCAGCACGGAGTACCTGTCTGGAGTGGGAAAGCCTTTTGGATCAGCTGAAGATGTGGAGAACTGGGATTTTCCTCCTAGCTGAGTGACAGCTCTGGCAATACTGTCTTTCCAGCGATGTCAGCTTTTTGGAGAGTTAACCGTAAACTCAAGAACGAAAGCGCTGGGAGAGCCGGTGACTCTCTGTACCGTATGTTGTATTTGGTGAGCAGATCTACTGTGCAACGCAACTAGTCTAAGTAATTAGCAGTTAAATGCATTTTCATGCTGTTTTAATTTTCAGGTTGTAAATTCGAGGCTAAGCTGTAACGTATATACCCTGCAGAGGCCTTTTGTTATTGTGCAATGTCATTAGCGGTCCTGGCGATGTGTGAAAGGATGCAGTTTGCCCGAGTTTTGTTTGGGAGATCAATCCGGCTTAGAGTTTGCCGTCTGTGGCGGGACAGAGGTGCTGTGTGCCGTTCAAGGGGGCAATCTGCCTGATGCCCAGGCATCCATATGTCTTTATGCTGCGAGTGAACAGGGTAATGGCACTCTGCTCTCACAACTACAGGGCAGGCAGCCAAAACTCCCCACTGTGGGCAGCATCAACACGCTTGATGCCTTTTAAGAACTTGCTCCTCCTGCACGGGAAGAATGCGAGATTAGCTCCTCTGCTGAGACCCCTGCAGAGGAGGGGTTAATGTACTTGCGAAGTAAACTTTGCTTTATAGGCCAGTTGTCCAGCCCTCCATCTCATTTTAAGGTTGCTAGTTGGGATTGCTCGCAGAATTGTGCCTGAAGTGCGTCGACCGTAATTCTCCTAGAGAAATCCTGGTTCAGTGCTAGCATTGTTGCAGCTGGCAAACAGAGCTGGTACTGGGAGATAAAAGGATCTGTTTCTGTTCCAGACCTTCTCCACTCTATCCACTTTCTCTAGGAAAATGGGGACAGAGAGGCTTTTGTTAATATTGTTCAAGAGTTTTCAGCAAAGCAGCTGCGTTCTGAACCACCCTGGGTGCAATATGCATCTGTTGTCTAGAAACCATTTTTTTTGAAGTAAATATAAGGTAGAAAGGATTACGTTTGGGAACGAAACGAGACAATTTGGTCAATGAACAAACAAGAAAACGTGTTTGTGAACATTATTGTGCTTGAGATTTTTCATCTGTCCCTCGAGTATCAGGTGAATGATACTTGGGAAATACGTAAAAGGCGCAAGGCAGGGCAGCAGCAGGGCAGAGCTCGGTTGCTGCTGGCTGGAGCTGGGCATGGCTGAAGTCAGCGAGCGGTTTAAGTGTGCACAAGTAGAGTTAAGGCTTCTAAAAGTCTTCTATGCTTCCTTTTTGGCATATGGGTGTAACTATTCCTTCTGGGGCGGACTGTATGCCTGTATGACCGTTATCCAATTTTCAACTACTTGTCAGTATTTAGCTGGTGTTTCATGGTATAAGTGGATTTTCTCTCTCTTTCTGGGTGACCCATTTTCCCTGCAACTTACTGCAAGTTAATGCATGGGATGGTGAGCTGCCTGCAGGGGATCAAGCATGAACTGCTTAAAACACTTGGTTTATTTTTGGAGTTTGATGCATATCATGTTTTATACATTATAACTATTTTTAATTGTATAGTTGGCTCTTACAACAAAATGTCACTGGACATGCCTTCCTCAAATATTCTTTCAAGAAATAGTCTTAGCAAAGCTAAATGTTTCTGAGGAAAACCATGCCTATTCTTGGTCTCTGCAGGCTCAGATTAATATTTATTGTCAGTTCTTTGTCCCTTTCCAGCAGAGCAGGTAACTTGTGTAGGGTTTTTCTGCCTGCATGGAGCCAGACTTTCACCTGCTGTGCTTTGTGGATTTGGGACTGCGGGGATCAAGGCTGCACCTGTTGAAAGCTCGTGCAAACTTAACCTAAAAGTTTGAGTATGTTTGGGTATACTTAAGAGTACAGCAAGTATAGGTGGAACGTTGCTGAGAAATAAAAGGAATTACTTTGACTAATAAAGAAATCCAACTTTGTGAGATGCACCATTACCAGAAGCTGAATTAGTTGGAAATGGACTGGTTCAACTCACTGTTTCCACCTGCCCTCAGTTTGCAACATTTTTCTTTTCTTCCTCATCTGAGTTAAACCTCAGATACTGAAGATAAATATATTTCCTGTAATAAACTGTGTCCAAGAGGCATTGTTGTATAGATATCGGTTACAATTAGTTGATTGCTTACATTTGCGTCCTGAAAAAAATTGTCCTTTGCAGAACAGGCATCTTTGCTAATATGCCTTGCAGGGTACATTCAGGTGAGCATTTACAGCCATAAGATACCTTTAGGGAAAGCAACTGTATTATGGAAGGAAATCCTTTACTTATCACTAGCATGGTTAATGGTCCTCTTCAGCTTCATGGCTGCGTAGCGCTGTAGGTGCACTGAGAGGAAAATAGCTATGTGTGAGCAAACTGCGCGGTTTAAAAAATTCTTCAGCACTGGGTCATCACGAAGCCGTAGGGTAGCGCAGGCTCTGGGCAATGGTGTTGCTACCAGCTGGTGGGAGTGAAGTGACCTCCCAAAGAGCAGGGTGCTGTCTGCAAACTGCAGAGGGATGGTGGTGTGCTTTTTCCCTTTCTCCCCAGCCCTCCCCTCCATAATCTCTGTTTGAATAGGCTAATTTTGGGTAAGTTGTTTTAGTATGGGCTGGAGGGATACAGAGGCAGTGCTGGGAAGCCTCTAAATCTGGATTAAGATGCCATGGCAGGATTAGACACAGAAGGTTAGAGAGATGTGATCAAGTGCAGCAGCTCTTTTCCCCCCCGTGCCCCCTCCAGGTCTCTGGGAGGGATGGAGACGGGGCACGCTGCTGCTTTGGCAACCCTAGAAGCCTGGGGCTGTCACTGACACCGGAGACTATACTTGCTCTCCAAGCTTTTCAGTATAATGAAGGATGTGAGGAGATGATCTAACATGGGGAGGTGAAGAGAGGATAACTGTCTCTATATAGAGACAGCTGATTAAACATTAAAGAAACCAGCTAGATGTAGCAGCTCTGAAAAACCTGACTTGCGGGGAAGAAATTCACCCTGCAGGGCATGTTTCCAGACGTACAGTTACTTTCCCAAGGTGCTTGTGTCTGAAGCCTGCAGGGCTTTGGTTCCCCAGATGGCTCTGCTTCCCCGAAAAACAGCCGAAACAGTTTCTGTCTCCGAGTGGTCTCCTTGGCCGTGCTGACGCAGCTATGCGCAGGGCTGTTGCAGACTAGATCAGGGAACCGGCAGAGGGCTGGCTCTGTGTTCTGTTTGCCCGGTCACTTTTGGTTCCCGATTCTTGGGCCTTTTTCTTTGTTTTTCAATCTTAAGTGCTGGACAAGCCTATTTTAATTAAAGTTCATGTTTATCTGAAACCAGGAATATTATTGAACAGCACTTCAATTAACTTTAATTGTGCAACTCTTCTTTCTCTCCCTTCCTCCTCGGCACTCATCCCCAGTCAGCAAGAGATAGGAAAGACAGATATATAAAATGATGTGTGCACTTCTGGACTTTGTTACCTGTGAAAAAGCCGCCAAGCTGCAACTGCTTAACTACAAATCAGGCTCAGCTCCTCGTTCCTATAGTTCTTACTTAAAATATTACCACTGGTCTTTCCTCTTCCTTCTTTTTAAAGAGTACAGAGCAGGTCGCTGCTTTCTGTCGCAGTCTGCATGAAATGAACCCTTCTGATTCAAGTGCTCATCCTCAGGAATTTACAGGACCCCAGCAGGCTACCATGAGACAACTCACAGATGCAGATAAGCTGCGAAAGGTTATCTGTGAACTTCTCGAGACAGAACGCACCTACGTCAAAGTAAGGGTCTCAATGTGGTGTTTCAGTCTACTAATGTTTCTCCTCCTTCTGGAAAACTTTGTTCATTTCTTGTTTAATACTTCAGATTACGTTTCATGCACATATCTTAGTTACCCTGCATTCAATTCTATGATCTGTCCCTAGAATAGTAACTTAAACTTCTGAAATAAGTAGGCTTTCCAAATTCTAATGCTGTCATTTTGAAATTACTTAGCTGGTATGCAGAGGAACAGTGCTCAGTGAGATCTGGTATTGATTTTTGTAATTTACTTACAAAATCAGGAAATATTTACAGGAAAGATTTACACAGTTTTACTATCTTAAATTTTGTGAAATCTGACTCTTTTTTTCCCTTCGTACATTAGACAAAAAGAATCGTAGACTAGGTATACGGTGGTCTTTGCCAATTGAATAAATATTTAGAGACAGTTCAAGGAACCAACATGGGAATCTTTTTCTCAATTTTTAGGACTTAAATTGTCTAATGGAGAGATACCTGAAGCCTCTACAAAAAGAAACGTTCCTCACACCAGATGAGGTATGTTAGCTGTTGCTTATCTTTCTGCTAGATAGCTCTGCTCCCTCCACCCCCAGCTTGACTTGCTTGTCTGACAAAGGGCTATGGACAAATTCTGAATTCCATTCCTTTTAAAATAATGGATTGAGTAGAGTATAAAGGTACTGCTCAGTAATGTATAGTCTGTAGGGTTTTTTCCTGACATCACACTGATTGTACAATTGGACTGAGAATTACTGAAGTTCTAGAAAACATGATTTAGCTGCTAAGTGATATTTTCGGCATCTTTCTTTTTTTCCCCTTATTAGCTGGATGTTCTCTTTGGGAATCTGACTGAAATGGTAGCATTCCAAGTAGAGTTCTTGAAAACTCTTGAAGATGGAGTAAGGCTGGTTCCAGACCTGGAAAAGCTTGAAAAAGTTGAGCAATTTAAGGTAACCTCATTGTTTACTTTCTGAGTAGTCCTTTAACGCTCTTTATTGTATTTGTCTGGCTACTGTCACTGTTCATGTAAAAAACCTACATCTACTTACGCTTGAGATTAATTGTTAGCTGTTACTGGAACAGTTTGAAAAAGCATCCTGCTACGATTGTAGTTTATGCTACATTTAGCTGTATAGAACACTCGAAATCTGTAACACCATGTGCTTTTAGATGCTATTCTTGCCCTTCTGCCAGATTTCTTGTCTTAGGCTGTCAGGAAAAACTAGAAATGGGAAGTTACATAAAAACTTTGTTCTGACAAATCTAATGTAGTAGTTTAGAAGCCCACTAGGGCTAGAGATCATAACTGTAAATTGAATTCTGTATTTGAGCTTTTGATGCATAGCAAAACTATATGGCAAATACTTCCGACTGTCAGCAGATGTGCATCAAAGGTAGAAATGTAAACTAAAGATATATAAAATTCATTTTAAAAAAATAGGAAAACTTGGAAACAGAAACTTTGTTTTGTTTCTAATGGAGCCATATATTGGCTATATGGCAAGTAGCTATACAGTGTTTAGTCTTCAGGGAATTTTACTCTTCCTTTTGAGCACTCACCTTGGTAGAGGTTATGATGTCTTGATGAATAATAGTAATTTCACTGGGATTGCTCTTCAGCTAACATACAGCCTGGAAGAACTACTGAAAGAGGTTGCCTTATTGTGCATGTGTGGCTTTGCCATTAGGTGCTTGTTTAAAATACGCAGCAATCATGAACACTGCCCTCGTGTAACTAGAACACAGCTTTTGTTTTGTAGGAAATGCGCCCTTTATGGAGAGCACAGAGATACCTTTTTTTTTTTAGTAGAGGAAGCTTCTCCGACCACTGTGTGCTCTGAGCTTTAAGGGAGGAGTGCGGAAGAAGCCTCCTTATGGAGAGCACGGTCTTCTGGGTGCTGCTGCTTCCACCTCTTTCCATAAAATGTGCATCAATTTAACTTTCGGTTCTGTCCTATGGGCATAGTCTGAAAGCAGTGTACAAAATGGGACTTCAGGGCTTCCTAGTTTCAGTTCTGCAGTTTGCTTCCCTCTGCTGACTGTAGGCAAGCTGCCCATGTGTTGTCTCACTCCCCTACCCCGTGTTGTCTTGTTCCAAAGTGGGTAGCGGAGCAGACGCTTGACCATGGCATAGACATCTTAGGGAAAGATCTTGTTTGGCCCTTAACACAAACTCATTTTCAAGAGAGTGAAGATCGTGGTGTGTTTGTGCAGAGGGATAATAGTCTCGCTTGCAGCTCCTTAGAGCCATGGTCCATTACAAAGTCAGATACATCCAGTCCTTCCTGTTACCTCTGGTCATTACTTATGTTGATAAGGTTTTAAGCTTGGGCATTTAAATACAGTTCTGGAGCTGTGAACCTAGTTCCCTGTATAGTCAGTGGTGTCTCCAGATTGTCCTAAACTGGAACCAGGCTAATGATGTTAATCACACAGCCTGAATCCAGACACCAAGGCTGGGCCTGTTTCTTGCTAGATGGTGTGAAAACACTCTAAAAATGCAGTGTCCTGTCAGCCAAAAGCTAAATGGAAACTTCAGGTGACCTGGCAGAAGGGAAAATTCATGTGCTTTTTTTACCTAATGATTTTTTGTTTTTGTTTAATCCTAGAAAGTGTTGTTTTCCTTGGGTGGATCCTTTCTTTACTATGCCGACCGGTTCAAGCTGTACAGTGCCTTCTGTGCCAGCCACACAAAAGTCCCCAAAGTACTGGTGAAAGGTAAGAGCCATGTGCTGGACAGACCTGAGCATGCAGAGGGAGAGATGTCGCAGCCACATGTTGGTTTGGGCTGGCGCAGGTTGTCCTTGTGGATGGTGAGAGGTGGCCACTGCACCCCAAACCATGCAGGGCATGTTGTGGCAGAGGAACGGGGGTGCACGTGTGTCTGGTTGCTCTCCGGGAGCCTTCACAGTAGCGAAGTAAATCCACCTGGCCTGAGCGGCTTGCAGAGAGCTCCGTGCCATGGGTGTTCTTGGACCACCATCAATGTAATGATAACTGAGTAGCTTATTACAAGAGGTCGTTAACCTCTCATGTAGTTTTTCCCCCCACACTTCATTTATTCTCCCCTGACAGGTTCAGGTTTTTTTAGTCATGTGGGGAGTAGAAGGATTTCATAAACGGGCAATGTGGCATGTACTAATGGATCACTGTGTACTTTGGAACCAGGAGTGATGACCCTTGTAATGACCTCTGGATCCTCCTAGAGTTTGTGCCGTGAATCCTTGCTAGTGGCAATCCCACTGAAGCTCCGGCCAACGTGCTTGAATGCTGACAGGCACTAGGAAAGGATCAGCCTGGGAGAATGTTTTATGGAAACTGTCTAAATATTTTAACTTCACCATGCTCTCTCTCCTCTCTTTTCCTCCTCTTACCTTTGTTCCAAGTTGCCTGAGAAGTTTCCATGTACAAATTCCTTGCAGAGTTTGGCTTTCTGAGGTGGAGAGAAATGAACTGTGGTCTGGTTTATAAATGCTCATGGGCCTCCTTGCCATGGAGTCATGTTTTTTTCCTCTGTGAAAGTGTTAATCTCTTAGTTAGCAGTGCTTCATGCAATTTAACATCTTTTTGGCCAAGATGTTAAATAAACAAATGGGTCCAGTTGTAGGAGCAATGCCATTAAGGGAGGAGCTCTTATTTTTCAAAGAACATCTGGATGCCTGACAATCAAAAGTTTTGGGGTTTTTTGTTTCTTTGTTGGTGTTTTGGTTTGGTTTATTTTTTTTGCTGTGCACATTTTTTTTTTTTCCATTTCTACTTGTAAAGTCTTATTGACCATGCTGCAAACAATACTTAACAGCTCTGTGGAATACATGAATAAATGATTTGTTGCTAGTGATATCCATGCTTTCTTTCGGCATCATTTTGTTCGACCTTAATGTTAAGGCCATAGACTAGGTAGGTTTGATTGTTCTGTTTAGCTCTTTCATTGCTGACTGTATTTATAAATGGCAAATGGTTGTGCTTAACTTATCACACAAACAGAACTTAAAACTTTCTTCTAGAGATAAATCTCTTAAAAAATCCTGGGAGTGTATTCCAAGTGTAATTTGGTGTCCTCAGCTGAGGTGCAGGTGACATTTGGATTTGAAACTCAAGTTGCTTTGTTGAAATCGGATGACTATCTGCAAAAAAACCCCACCCAACCTCAGCAGGGGACATAGCTCTAATAAAAGCAATTGTGTGGAATTGTTCCTGCACTGAATAATTTGTATGTCTAAAAATGCCACCTTCTCCGTATTTCCCTCCCAGTACAAATTTATGTTCTAGTAGGCAGAGCAATAGAGAAAATGGTATTTTTATAAATTCAGTAGCAGTCAGGCAGAAAAGATGACAGCAATCAGGTGTCCAGTCTGCCTTTGCTCCCAATATATGGTGTACTATCATAAGCTTACTGCTTCCTGCCTCCTTACTAGCTCTTGATTTTTTTGGTTGTTGTTCAGTACTGCATTTTAAGGTTTAATGAGGTAACAATAACAGGACTTGCCAATATTATAGGTGTACCTGTGGGACTATACTCATGAGTAATGACTTCTTATAATTATCCAATGTGAGCCTTTTCTTAAAGGAAACAGATGATTAAAACAATTTATTCTGCTCTAAAATAGTTGCAAGGCCAGAAATACGGTGGGTAGTGAAATTAAAAACTGCATGTATTGGTATAGTAGGTGGGTTCCTGACTTTAAATTATAAATAGCATATCTGTGGCAAAGTGTCAGTAACTCGAAACCTAAAGTGCATAGGTCTAATACTGTGGACCTGATAAATCCGCACTTCCTGGCAAAAGGTCTCTGGATAAATGAATTTAAAACTGGAAAAGTCACTTTATCAGGGCAGCTGTTATGTTTTTTGATTTATCCAATTGCTTCATTTTAATCTTCCAGCCAAGACAGACACTGCTTTCAAGGCATTTCTGGATGCTCAGAATCCCCGAAGACAGCACTCCTCCACGCTGGAGTCTTACCTCATCAAACCCATCCAGCGGATACTGAAATACCCTCTTCTGCTGAAGGAGCTCTTTGCTCTGACTGACGTGGACAGTGAAGAACATTATCACCTTGATGGTAAGGAGCTAACCTACGTTGCTCTTCCCTGTTTAACCTCTGATCTGGAACCCTTCTCCCCCTCCTTCCTCTCAGAGGCTTAAAAATACCTTTTGTCTCTTCCCCTATCCCTCTGTCTTTCTTGTAGTGGCCATAAAAACAATGAACAAAGTTGCCAGCCACATTAATGAAATGCAGAAAATCCATGAAGAATATGGGGCAGTGTTTGACCAACTCATAGCAGAACAAACAGGGGAGAAAAAAGAGGTAACAGAATTCAAGAGAAAAAGGCCATTATTTTGGCACCTGTTGTGTGAATGTTAAATTGTATCAAATATTTACCTTTCATGGTGTGTCATTTAAGTGGATCCTCATGCAAACAGATTAATCGCAATCCAGTTCAAAAACTGCTCTTCCATGTACAGTTTAGTGAGTGGGACCAATGTAAAGAAGTAGTGGGTTAATGCACCCGCAGTGTTGTGCTTGGGTCAACATCACATCTCAGCATGCAGCTCACTATTTTGAGGTCCATATCTTGGCTCTCCTTGTTCCATGTAAATAATCTTCCCAGTCTGAGTGGACTGGCATGCTGGCCAAGTCTGTACTTAGCTCTTTAACAGCTTTAAAGAGATCAAAATGTGAGCTGCGGTGTGTGAGAAACTCCTGTTTCTCTTTTAGAAATGGTGTTAGTGGGCTTGATATATGAAAGCGGCTTGGGCTTTGGTCTAGAGGTCTCATATGGCGCATATGCAAAGACCCAGTTGTGTCTCAGTCCTGGATGACCATCTCAGAAACCTGTGGAAGGTGTCTTGGAGCTTCAGACTGAGACCTGGACTCTCCATTTAATGATAAAATGTAGGTCTGCAGTCCAGCAGTGTACTGGAGGAGAGTGGTGGGCAAGTAAGGGGGGAACGAAGTAAGGTCGAGGGGCACTCAAGGAAGAGGTATAGCCACACCAGAGGGCCAATGAGAGCAGTGATGTGGGTGAAGGCTGGAGAGAGCCATGACCATATGAAGTAATGGTAATGGGATTTTGCCAACAGCCAGGATGAAGAACAAACGTAAGTGGCATTGGGCTACAAGGTAAAGGAGGTCTGGGTTTGAGTAGTGTTAAGGAAGCTTTGGCTACAAGAGCGGGATAGCAGCAGCAGGGAGGGAGGATCAGGTGGTGGGTAGAAGGCAGATACTAGGGCTGGTGCTGGCAAACAGTGGTGGAGAGATTGTGTCAGGACATCTGTTGTGAAAGCAATCATGGTTTGGGGTTAATCTGGGAGAGGAGACAGTAAACACACGTCTCACTGTTGCTTTTGCTATCAGGGAGACCTCGGGTTGTTGTGCTGATGGTATCTGTGGCATCCTTTGGCAAAAGTCAGATTTCACTGAGAGGAGAGTGGAGGAATGGGGGTAACGTGGCCCGTAGACTGGGGATAGCCCCCGATTTGTCACTCTGGGAGACCATAATTCAAAGTGAAAGATCCAGTTGCTGCAATATTAGTAGGCATCTCCCAACAGTTGCTATGAACTCCTTTATTAGTTCATTTCCAGCAATGTGGTTTGAATAGATGAGCCTTTGAGCAAAATCAAGAGCCATAGCAACTGTGGGGAGGAAGTACTTTGACTGCTTCATGTGATGCAGTCTCTGAACTTTACCCCAAACTGTGTGTGCGTGATGGGCTCTATGCTTGAATGTTCAAACAAAATAGAAAGAAACTGGCAGGGAGAAAGATGGACAAAGGAGCAAAAAATGCAAGGAAAACATCTGGGTCTTGCCCTGGCATCCCACCAAATTACGAGCGCTAGACTCCGAGTTTGACTTCTCCTAATTTATGCTCACCAATTAAGGATTTACATACATCTATTGCCAACTGTCACAGGCTGTTTGCACACGCTTCTAGTCATCTGATTAAGTAGTCCAAAAGTTTGCTTGTGGGCCATTGGTTGGTTTGTTTAGGAATAAAGTTCAAGGAAGTTTTCTTGAACTGAAAATTCAAGTAAGCTTTCTTGAACTGATTACACATTGTGTCTCTATATGTGTGTTTGTGTTGGCAGGTTGCAGACCTTTCGATGGGAGACTTGCTCTTGCATAATACAGTGATATGGCTGAATCCTCCTGCTTCACTGGGGAAATGGAAGAAGGAACCTGAGCTGGCAGCATTTGGTTTGTATCCTAGTAATTTTATTTTGGATGCCTAAAAGACTGTCAACTTTGCCTTAGCAGATATTTGTGGAAGGTAGTTGAGCATTGCCTTCTGCAAAATTGGCTGGAACCTAAAACCATATTTTGTGTCTGCCGCAATGGTCAAATTCTGTTCTTTGTTGATGTAAATCTGGTGAAGAATTTGGAGATGACTGCTGTAATAGAGCAAGGGTTTCTTAAACCCATATCCAAGGCTATGAATTGACAGCTATATAGAAAGGTGTTTGTCTCTGCAAAGATACCATTTGATGGTCTAATTGATGCCAAGTAACCCCACATCCTGTAGGATGGGGTTGGGCAATTGAAGAGGCTTTGCCTTTTTCCTCCGTGCCTTTTGCCAGAAAGGGCTTTTATATCTAAGCTTAAAGTGCTTAAAAGCTCAGCCAGGACTCCCAGTGAGTTGCTTTGAAGTGGTCTGTCTCCCTCAGAGTAGTCTATCTTGGGTGGTCAAACTAGAAGTTGAAACTGCTCTTGGCATAGATCTCAAGTCCTTCCACTGCCTCGGAGTATGGTCTCTTGGAAAGGTACATGATAGTTTATTTTGGCTAAATCATGTATCTCTTACTTTCAGGATTATATCACGTAATGCAGAGTGTGGTAGGCTTGCTTTATTGGTTCCTAAATTTCTTTACATGCGTTTTCCTTGCTGTTTCCAGAAAGTTTAGGAAGCCAGTGATTTTTATTTTTGTTTTTGTTTTCTACCAAACAGATAACGAATGAAGACTTTCAGCTTTGCTCTGGAAGAGCATATAAAAATTGACTGCTTTCCCATAAGCTGGGAAGGCACCTGCTCATACCGTGAAGCTAAGGGGCCTCATGAAAGCTGCTAGGAATGTGCAGCAACTTTTACTTACTCCAAAAAGCTTTAAAGTGGCTTCATAAAATGTCCAAAATTAAGCGTCCATGCAATTCAATCATAAGACAAAGGGTGCATTTGAGGCCTGAAGAAAGAGATCGCAAGGAAAACGGGAGCCTTAAAAGACAAATTCCAGCTCCATGTGATATTATGTGGCAAAATAGGAATCAGATTACACCTTTGCCTGCCAGTGGTGCTCACTTTTTAATTCAGCATAGGCCACTCTCCCACCTGGGAAATGTTCGAATTCTGTCCAAGCACAGTCTCATCTGCTTGACCGGCAGCTCGATGCTGCTCATTTGTCTGAGGTGAACTTAGCCGGGGGGATTCAAGTTTTTAAATTTTTTGTATAGAATTGTTGCTGCTTGAATAGTTGTTCTGATAACTGGTAACTTAAACTGTTAAGTTTCAAGTGACTTTGAAGTAACCTGGTTTTGTGTACTACCCCAAGTGGTTGAGCTTGGGTTTTTTGGGAAGAATATGCAAGAGGGCTGGTAGGTTTACTCCTGCCTTCTCTCCCTGACTCAGGTGAGGGCTGTTCGAGGAGTTGAAAGGTCTGTGTGCTTGGGCATAGAGGAGACCCGTTCCCAACCTTATTGACTACATGGCTTTTGTTTCTAACTTTCTCCTCTAGTGTTCAAAACTGCTGTGGTCCTTGTATACAAGGATGGTTCCAAACAGAAGAAGAAACTTGTAAGTTGCATGGATTATTTTGGTGATGCTGCGTGCATTTGTGGTGCTACAATCAAGATTTGCTTTCCATAAAGCTGTGGTGCTAGAGTGTGCTTTTGCATACGTGATTCTTGTTCTCTGCCACACAACTGAAGTTTTGAGTAGTGCCGAGTGGCCTGCTGTTTGGCCTGGGTGCAGCGCTCTGCAAGTGTTCATTTAGTTTATCCTTTGCTGTCTGCTGGACTAGTCATTCCTGTGGCCTGCCATGTCCATGCCATGCTGTGGAGTGGATTTTCATGAAGCAAGGTGTCACCTTGAATGTCTGTCTTGTGTTTGGCTCTTTGATCAGTTTATATGAATCAAGTATGAGAGCTGATGCCTGTCAACTTTCTTAGTCAAACACAATGCCCTCGCTCCAGTTCTGGCTGTTGCATGCCACTGAGCAAGTGCTGGCTGCTCTTAGCTAAATTAGGTGTGCCTACAGTATGTATCAGGGGATCCTACTGGAGTTTGAGATTAAAAATTAAAGCTACGCTTGACAGTAAACACATGCCTTGCTGCAGTAGGGAACGCAGTTTATAGTATTACAGAAAATTTTGGATTCCCATGTATGGCATAAACTAAAGTGGGATTTGAAATGCTTATATGGTTGTTTTCTGAAGTCAACTGTCCACAAAATGACTTTGGAGTGACTAAGGCAAAACTTGTGCATGTTTGTCCTCTCACTTGGAGGAGAGAATGCAGCATTGGTCTTGAACAACTTTTGAAGGCATTGATAAGAGCTGATCGGTCTAAAGGTTACTTTTGCCTAGAATTTAGCAAGACCTTCATAGTTAGGCACATCAGTGATGCTGGTTACTAAGATGTTGTAGTGAGAGAATAGGAACTGCAACGAGTCTCTAGCTGGACATTCTCAGTGCAAAGCAAAGGAGACTTTTGTGTCTGACTGTCCCAAGGTGTCTAATTTCCTAACAGTATTTTGACATTCTTCCAGGGAGGATCACATAGAGCTTCAATTTATGAAGATTGGGATCCGTTCCGCTTTCGCCACATGATACCTTTAGAAGCACTGCAGGTTCGAGCGTTGGCAAGTGCAGGTAATGTTCCTGCGCATGAATTTGGCAGGGTTCTTAATGCTTAGTCTGGGGATGTTCACGGACCAGTATTTGTCCTTAGCTGTGTACTGGTATGTCCATACCATACATGTGTATGCAGCTTCTGGGGCCTAAGCAAGGAACCCACAACCTTGACATCTGTAATAGCCCTGGAGAGAAATGAAGGGGCAGAAGCTCCAGTTGTGTATCTCCAGCTTGTCAGTACTCTTCTGAAGCCAGTCAGGGTTCTGGAAAAACAGGACAAAGTTGTTAACTCTGGTTTGGTCTGTTCCTCTTCTGGAGACTAGAAGGAAATCTTGCAGCTGTGAGACAACAGAGCTAGTGAATTTTTGTTCTTGTCATTCATGGTTTCATGTGAAGCTCATTATATTAAAAATTTCAAAATTTAAAACAATTTCCTCCTTTTCTAATGTGAAATGTGACAGTACCCTGAGTAATATCTGAAAAGCTGGCAGGGGTGTCATATTTTATGGGACTGAGTGTATATATATATATATAT